CACTGCAGCAACCATCACTACAATTCATCCGGACTTCTGGATTCTTTGAGTATTGACTTTACTCCGGATGTTCTTGTGTGACCTGTTTGAGCGTGCGAATCTCAAGCCAGTGAGAATACTGGTTAAACCTCTAAAAATCACAGTTTGGCATTCGCTGGTTTGGGAAGACGCACCACAAGCTCTTGCTTCATCTTGCTTCCCTCTGTCATGGCTGCAGGTCATGCCCCTCCCTGACCTCTTTCCACTGGATCCTTCAAGGTGTCGTGGCCACACCGGCGGCCACACCCTGTCCAAACAAGCCACATCATCATCCTCTATGTAAGGCTCCTCGTCCACATCGTTTGGGACCTGAGACTTTCGCCAGATTGTCAACATTGGAAGCGAACAATATAAAAGATATATATATATTTAAAAGCACAACTGGCAAAGGTATAAGTACCTCGGAAGTGGCATCTTCCATCCTCAGCATAACACCCTTTACAAGCCACCCTTCAATGATGAGTGAATCTCAACTTGATGCCCGATGGGCATGTCACCATGCGAGAGGTAAACATCCCAGATCCCGCAAGTGTGTGCGTGTGTGTGTGTGTTTATGGGGCTCACACAAAACGAAGATTGAAGATCTACATCAGTACACATATCAAAACACGATGAATTGAATTATGTCGATAGTAAATGTAAATACAATTAGGTTCGTTACGCATAGAAAACAAGGTGCCCTTGAATACCTACGCCTACACCTACGTCCATCAATCCAAAAAAAGACGAATCTTCGATCTCCAAAGCTGCTCCGAAGCCAAGCTAAGCCGAGCTGCGGGCGCCTCCTGTCCGTTACACTTGGGGCCGACGACGTTGGCCGGCGGCACCACCTCCTTGGTAGCTGGCCGAACTGCTGGCCAAAGCAAAACCAAGTGCTTAGACTAGATGATACTAGATGTGCTTAGCAGCTTTCAAGGCGAGCTTGCAATGCCAAAAGGTGGATGTTCTCAAGGGCTTTCGACCTCTGGGAGATCACTTCAACTTCTAATCTTTTACTGTATGGACCGGTACAGCGTATCATTACCATTTGCCTCAAAAGCAAGTCGGCTGGATGAGAGGGCCCTGTCCGGACTCCAGAGCCCGGGTCCGTCGATGTCCGTTTCGAGGTCACAGGCCTCTCTGAAAGAACGTCACCATACGTCACCCGTCCCATTTTATCAGAGAGAAAAACTACCCTTTGATCTGAAGACATCAAGGCAATTCAAGGCATATCAAGGCTCTTTTTGAGGTTCTGTGAACTTCAAGTCGGTGAAGCTCTTTCCAGAGGATCCATCTCCTCGCCAATCCTTAGTGGCAGGCACTGGGGTCCCTTTGACGAAATGGTCGATAAAGCACAAAGAAAAAGAGGCCAAGCACGGATATTGTGGATATATGACACACACACACACACACATCATCAAACATTAAAAAATCAATCGTCTACTGAGTCTACTGCAGTCAAGCATTGCCCCTTCTGTAGCTGTTTCTTTTACCAAACTTGTGGGTGGAGGGAAGAAAACAAAACATCTAAACCTGGAGGCACTTTGCGTAACCTTGGTGATTCTCTAAGCATTGCCCCTTTTCATGTATCTTGGACCCGCTTAATTATGGGGATATATGGGGATGTTTCTTCCTGGAAACTCCCCTTTTCTTGTGTGGCGAGACAAAAACAGTCGTTCAACGCAATTAACGTCTAGCCCTACAAGTGGCTGCAGCGCTACCATAGTATCCCCTTGGAAAAGCGAGTGACCAAGAAAACGGCTCCAAAATCCTGGCCTTCGGGTCACCAGCTAACTATCCAAGCAGCCCTATCTTTGTCAGCCTTTTTCTTCTTCTCGCCTTTTCCTTTGCCATTTCGGCTGCCTGGTAGAGCTTGGACTTCGCAATCTGCGCTTCCAAGCTTCGCACTGGATCTCCAAAAGGCAGCTTTAGCAGGGCTTACTGCATACTGGCATACTTGCATTCAATAGTCACTCAAATCAGAAAACCGGTTTGAAACACACCGATTAATCTACTACAGGCGGACCCCTGCAGCGCAAAGACATCTGCGCAACATGCGCTTGACCGAAGCCCGCCTTTTCCTCCACCACCGCCCCAATTGCCATTCCAATTGCCGCCACCCTCCCAACCTTGGTATGTAAATCTGGAGCGGTCAAACATTGCAAGTAGGATGCATATTCGTTTAAACAGCTCAAGTCAGACTTAGGCGAGAAGTAGAGCGGCAGGAAAGCATACGACCACAACTGATAGAAGATGATAGAAGGCATCATCGAATCACCAAAGCCAACTCAAAGTTTCCTAAATTAAATGGAGGCCTTCGCTGGTAGGTTGGATTGGAGAGACAGGGAGAGATAGGGATGGGCAAGCGGGCATTTCCTCCCGAGAGTGATCTTGACTTCTCTGAGCAAAGCATCAACCGCTAAATCTGAACAGCGACGACTCGCGCGGTTCGCTTGACTCGCTGTGTGATCAGCATGCGTCTTCAACCCGAAAAAAACAGAACCCCCGGCCTCAAAAGCATGGGCCAGTGGGGAGACAACTCAGGATGACCAGAATCTATCTTTTGCAAGAACACCGTATGTTGAGTCTGAGTTATATCATGTAACATAATGGAATTCATCTGAATTCTGGGTATTCTGCCGTCTCGGCACCTGGAGTGGTTAATCAAGATGTGTCCAAACCGTGCACTCTCACTGGGCCAGGGATACCAACTTCGTCCACGTTCCAAGAGCATGCCCTTGTCAAAGTGGAAAGACAAACTCAAAGACATTCAAAGACTTTGGACGTGAACAAATCCAGCCAATCATAAAATCGATCCAAGCACCCACCTGTCTCAGTTATCTCCAACGCCCCATGAACCCATCACCACCTCGCTGCGAGCTCGCGAGCCGCCAGGCAGACAAGAAGCCCCACTGGTTCCAGTTGCCGCCGTTTCCCCAGCCCCAGCCACCTTTTCCATTCCACCCTCCCCAGTCCATCGAAGTCTTCGATGTCCTGGGCCGAAGAAACCGCACTTCTCGCCAGCAAAACGGCGGCGTCTTCGGCCATTTCTGTTGTACGTTGTTGCTTTGTTCCAAAAGGATGTGTACGCTAAGTGGAAAAACACATCAACGTGGTGGACCGTGGATGGCACCACCTGTTTGGCAGAACATCTTCCTCACCCTCTTGGGGCCATGCCGATCAGAAGGTCCGTCATGCTGGTCAGGGAGTCTAGAGGAAAACCAGGAGTATGGGTCTTCATGGGTCTTCATATTCTACTCCAACACAAGTCTGACTGACCAAACACCCAACGGAAGACTAGCCCCAATTTCGAGCGACCCAGGCAACCCATGCGGGACACCCAGTGATTTGGGTGCTGCATCACCTGGTGAAGCATCTATCTGGGACCTCATCCAAACACTGATTTCAAGCCAGCGTCTATCCCAAACTCTCAGCCCCAACTTGGGTAAGATGAGCAAAACCCATGTACAGTAGAATCATCCTATCTCCTCCTGATCACAGAATTGTGGCCTAAGATAGCCCCCCCAACGCCACATCACCGGGCCAAACGGGTGGTACCAGGTGGTTCCTTGGAGGGGTCCATCCGTGAATTCCTCTAGTAGCTTCCTTGCTCCTAGTAGCGATGCCCTTGTTACTAGTAGCTTCTTGCTCCTAGTAGTACGGCCAGGAGCCCCTAGTAGCGTCCTTCCTGTCCTTGGATGGACTCCCTATAGAATGCATTAGAAACGCTCCTGGAAACGCTAAATTGGATCGGTCACAGTCTGACTGTCGGTGACAGAACCCCAAGCGAGCTCAGACAGCTCCCAAAGGCAAGATACAGTAAGGGGTTCGGATGTTACTTTGGAATTATTAGTGTCTATTATTTTTGGACAGTTCTTTTGTGCTTGCTTTTGGCTGCTGTCTTATACAGTAGAATAACAAGGCAAGGGAAAGGGAAAGGGAAAGCAAAAAAGAAAGGGAATCAGAAAAAGGGAAACGTCTGAGAAAACCTTGGAAATCCTTTGGGCTTCTCAACACAACCTTGGAACACATGCGAAAATCCCAAGTTTTCTTCAGAACACATATGTCAGAAAAAAATCATTGGTTTTCTGAAGAAACCAAAGAACAACTTTGGGAAGAATCCTGTGACTTCCTTAAAGCCACAAGCCAGCAAAAGCCAAAAGCCACCCCAAAAATACTAATATATAATTCCAAAATACATACACACTCCGTAAATATGTATTTATAGAGGCCAATCTATCTTGCTGTATTTTTGCGTGCCTGACCTGCTAAAGGGGAGAGTGTCGAACAGTGCGTAACTCAAGGAGAACAACAAACATGCCGCGGACGTCAAAGGTATGCTACCATCGCAAACAAGTACGTAAGTTGGCGCAAAAACACCTCTCATGGAAAAAGCCAAGTCTCCGTGCAAATGAATCTACTGGAATGGACGCTGGAGCCAAATGTGTGAGGCATTGACATTAACATCAACGCGAGGAGTTCATTCGATACAACGCCCCGGCATCAATATCAACCCCCCAAAACAGACCTAAGTGGAAGACTAATCCCAAACCATCCATGTATATATATAATATATACACTATACATAATATAATATACACATGGAATAGTTGAGCACTTGCATTGGGGTTACCCGCCCCACCTTTCATCAAAGGCTGTCGGACTCTGCAGCTACTTTAGTGCTTCAGTATGAGGCTCAAGACATTAGACGCACTATAGAACATGCGGTGGAACATCCAATAAAAGGCAAATATCAAAACATAAACACAAACTGTTTCACTATGAAACATGAAATGTAGTGGTTTCATGTGGTTTCTTTAACAACCTCATGGAACATCAATGTTAACCACTAATAGAAACCACCACCTCCAACCGGGGACCCCCCCGTGGCTTACACTTCTCCAACCAGTCAAATGATGTTTAGGTTCAGGTCCGGTCCAAACATGGAGAGCACATCACAGCAAACCACGTGTGACTTGCACCTCGGGTGGCTTCAGCCCACTCGCCGGCTCGGGTGGCTTCGGCCCATGAGCCGCGGGCGGCGCGGGCTGCTCGGGCGGCACGGGGTCCGGGCGGAGCTTCTTCCGCTTGGAGGGCAGCCAGCCACCACCGCTCCTGAGAAATTGATAGACATTGGGTGCAGTGTCCCAATAAAGAATTTATGCGATTGCTTCACGCAAGACCGAAGGTTCGTGGAAGTATCTACCCTGCACAACACCTTTGCAAGCACCGTTTCTTTCCTGGCATTTGTCAACGATATTGGCTCGAAAAGACATGAAAAAGACTAAACCTCTGGGGCACTGTTGATCGCGGTCCCAGCGACACAGGATCCAAGGCCACGTTGTTCTTCACGGCCAAGGCTGGCCGACCTGTTTTGTCAAAGGTGGATTGCTGCTTTCATGGTTTTCAGAGCTCCGGGTCTGCTGAGGGTTACAAACCATGGTCCTAGTATATTACAGTAGTATGTTCTAGATAGATCTAGATAGTGTTTAGTGTTAAGTTGTGAACATTCAAGTGCCATTCATGAATCATGCAACCAAAACAGGCTAATGTGGAAGAACGTAATATTGCATGCTTAAGTTTCTTCTGCACGACAGCGGTTTATATGATTGATGCTGTGCTGATTGGAGTACTGTCACATGATACTCTTAAGGCCCATTCATGTCTTGTTGACTGACATCTTCCCTGCACACCAAGCAAATGCTATCTGGTTCCTGTTCTGGTCAGTCTGATATACTTCTCATGCAGCCCTTGCTACGAGACACCAAACGACTCGTGGCCGATTTCTGTCCGGTTCAATGCTTGGCGGATGCTGGCATCATACCCTGAAAGCGTCGCCTACCTTCAACTAACTCACGTGCGTGGACCAAATGAAGAGTAGTTCTACTCGTCTCACCAGGTAGAACCTCGTTGAGACCTCCCTGCAAAACAGTCTAACGCACCCGTTCTCCGGCCACCTTCCACATCTCTGCGGCGGTGAAGATCGGCGGCAAACATGCGGACATGTGATGAGAAGGTCTGACGATGTTCTTGTCCGGGGACCATCATTGGACATGATGGCAAAAAGATATCCAAACAAGAATCACTTGGAACCTTCAAATAGAACGGCATCTTTAAACAGAACACGGATCGTTTGCTTCTTTGCTAAGTACGCGTAATTACTCGGTTTGGGGGGCTACATGATGTACAAAGAACAACCAAGGCACCATAAACCAGACCTTCGTGCGGGGTGGTTGACCTTCGAAGAGTATTAGGATTTCCCGCAAAAGTGTTCCAAGATCAACTCAAACTGTATAAACATGCGTGTTGTGTTTCTTTGTTTGAATCAAGTGTGGATCTTCCTGGTCCTTGCATGCGAACACACAAATCTCTTCACAAAGAATTGCGCAATGAAGAGGCCCAATGCTCTAGCCCAAACAAGTTGTTTCTTTGCAGAAAGGCTGTATCATGTTGTATCCTTCCCCACGTATGAGGTAAGAAGGATTCTGAATGGTGCAGAGCCAAATCATATTTCCTGAGCTTTGTTTGCTTTGACCCTGACATTGTTGTATAGGTGGCAGCAAACTGTTCTGTTCGTGTTGTAGCCGTTGGATACATATATATATATGTTAAACCTGTATTTTAATGTAATAGTAACTTTGCAAAACCATATATATATACATATTTGTTTTTGTTCACATTCTTTACTTCGGCAGCACCGCTTTTCATTTCGGTCGGATCCCGATGATTGACAGAACCAAAATCGGGGCCCGACGAGACGATGGGAGGAAAAGAGGACGAGTCGATTCCACGGGAGAAGAGGACGAACCGGCAGGTTGACATGGTGAAGGATGTTGTTTCTCTGGATGGGATTTGGATGAAGAATGATGACGATATGTGAAGCTTATTGAAGATTAACATCAAAGGTAAGGGTCCTTATGGGTCCTTTCTAGCTAGCTTGAATGGAGTTCGGACATGAATCGTCCTAACGTGACATCCTGAGATGAGATGAGACTCCATCCCTCGAGACCTGAAGAGCCTTGATGTCGTTTAATGTGGCACATCTGTGGAAGACCATAGGACTCCCAAATCAGCAGTTAAATGGGTCTTTGAACTGCTGAAGTGGGCAGTTTGGGCTGAATCACGTCGCCCGAGCAATTGGGACCCAGTGGATTTTTGTCAGCGCTGGACAAGCAGCAAGTGTTATGATGTTATGCTCTGGAAAAAATTGATGGACTCCAGCCAAGCCTTTCCAATTTGGCCTATGGTGTCATAGAAGGTGGTTTAGCAAAGTGATTTTGATACACTTGCAGGGGTGACAACTGGCCAAACAAATGCCAATCATTCTGATTCACCCTTCCCTCCCAGCTCTCCATTGAGAAGTACATGTAGTCGTGGAACTGGCTCACCAGTTCCTTCAAGGACCAGTGCACCTGCCCAGTGGTGGTTGCAAACGCCGTCGCGTATGATCCATGAGCAAGTGACTGCAGAATTTGTACACTGGGGAGAGTCTCAAACATAGGAAATCCAAGGAATCTGTTTTCAGAGGTTCGAAGCACAACTGCTCTCGGTATTTGTCCCACGTCCATGTTTGGAGACCGTCTTTTCTCTGTTCGTGGACATCGACGCAGCTCAGCGTCTACTCGGCTCCACGTGTTCTGCGCGCCCGAGACGCGCCTTCCGCAGCACCGTCACCGGTAGCCCGGCCTGGTAGAACTCATCGAAATGTCAGAGATTGGTGCAACGGGTAGTTGAAATATGGCGAAAAATACAGTATAAATACAGTATAGCTAACACAAATTCACAAAAGCTAACAACAACCAAAATAAATAGGTCGACGTTGTTTGGAGTGCATTCGCAGGGGGAGATTCAAAGTAAGAGTTATGTTGCTCTCGCACATCACACAAACACATTTGTTGAATGATGTTGAATGCCTATAGGGCGGCCAAGAACCTGTGGTTCGCACTGGTTCGAGTCGAGTCAGACAGAAGGAACAAGGCATTCTCGTCTTTTCGGGCTCCATGGACCTGTCCTGGATCACATCTCCCTTCACAACCATGAGAAAAAAAAGCCGAACATTCAACAAAAATACCCTGCTCTCCGCTGCTCCTCTTTGTCCCAAAACCCCAAAACAACGCTCTCTCATTGGTTCCTCCACCGAGCGCACCGAGCGCACCGCACCGTGCCGTGCACCGCGCCTGACTGCCATCCCGCCGGGTGAAGCAAACGACGTCCACGTCGCTGCCCGGGGTCTCCACCTCGGTGGGGTCTGCCAGACTGACGCTTCCCATCCGATTGAATCTCTCATCTATCCAAAGCACAAGGCCCACAAGGCCGCACTCTCACAGTTGCTACGATATCCAACCTTGAATCACAAAGGAGCACTGGAGAGATTGATTGGCACATATTGGCATATTGGCACCAATTATGTAGACCTCTTCAGCCAATACCCAAAGAAAACCTAGGGTTCTCCAAAATACCCGGGGTTTTCACTGGAAACCCGGGGTTTGCATGCTTCATCGTTTTTTTTGATTTGAGCACGTGCATACTGATGCGGCAATGTCTCGAATGTCTTGTTTGAGTATCGAGACTACGGGTGTCAGTTCAGAAGATTTGCGTTTTTTTGCACCCAAAAGTCGTTCGGAATCTGACCTCAAACCCGTGATTTTTTTCACGGGTTTGCACGGGTAAATCATGGGTTTAGCACGGGTAAATCACGGGTTTGAAAAGATAGGGTTCTTCAACAAAGACATTTTATTTTCAAGGAAATCACGGGTTAGCACGGGAAAATCACGGGTTCAGCACGGGAAAATCACGGGTTCTACCTCACACCTGAACTTTTCCCTATAAAATTCAATAAAGTGTCAACCAACCATATCAATGGAACGAAATGGAATGAACAAGAAATTGGATAACCACCCGGATTGTTCAGCATGCAAAGGAATTCAATCAACTTTACCTCAGCAGGCAGATTGAGAGAATACCCGGGGTTTTCCCGGGAAACCCTAGGTTTTTCCAATTTTACAAGAATACCCGGGGTTTGTCCGCATACCCGAGGAACAGTTAGGGTCCCGGCTGGCAGGGTAGATTTATGAATTAGTCATTGCTTTCCACATGATTCTCCATGCGGGGTCCCAGGTGTTGTGTATCTCTTTGGGAGCCCATGTAGACACTTCACCAGGCCAAACGTTCATGTGTTGGATCGACATGGGAAGGGTTCTGAGATGTTGATTCATCATGGACGCTTCATTCAAATCACTTCCGATCGTCCACCCCAGTACCGAGGCTCCAAACCCTCAGCGCCGCACTGCCCACCAAAATCAGCCTCGAGGACGACGCGTAACGTGGATTTGCAGGCGGTTCGTAGGAGCGGTTTTGGAGCGTCACAGGCGAAATCGGTGAACAAAATGGAGAGGTGGCTGTTTCCTGAGAGGATTTAAGGATCACACTGTCAGAATCATAGGTAATCTTCCGATTCTCACACCATGTCTGGGCAATGTCTGTGACATGACCGCCTTTTCTCAGTCTGTGAGCCTATGCATGGGAGCAGTGCTGTTCTTCACCTGCATGACCTCCCACTAACGGTGTGGCCCACCTGGAGAAGTGGCCCTTCAAGGCACGCTTGCATGCCAGCTCAACAGTGGCCACCAGACCCTGCAGCGACCCGGCTGCGTCCGATGTGGTCAAGACTCCCCGGAGGTGGATGTAATGGGAT